TAATAATATAGTAATTATAATTTTTTTCAGATTTACTATCGCTTTCTTCGTCGTCATTAATTGTTCGACACTTTCTTTTTCAATGTGGTCTAATAATATCACTAGTTTCCCTATCGCTTTTCATTTTCGAATCCAGAGATAAAAATACTACTTTACTCTGCACTGATAAATTTATTTTCTGTTTATCTATTGTATACTGACTTTGTTATAACTTAGAATACTTGAAATCGACGATATTGGTTTCAATTCCTGGATATTCCGTGTCGGACATTTTACACGTCGCAGATAATACGATTTGAAATGAAAAAGAAGGAATTATTAAATACAATTGTTTAGACATTATTATCTGACGTGATGAATAATCGGAATATTGGAAGTCTAAACTTGAGAACATTGCGATAAAAACCGCTGGAAATATAAATTTAGCATTTGAAGGTTAGGACACTTGAAGTGCAAAGCGGCTGTGCAAACTTCAAGATTGGTGACTTTTCATTGGACGATGAGCCATAATGTTTTAAGAAAAATTATTGAAAACAATTCAGGGTAAAAGATATTGAAATTCTGCCACATCCTCTTCTATTCATTAGAGCTTTCCCCAAGAGACTACCATTTCTTCAAACACCCGAACAATTTTTTGAATAAATAAATCATTCCGAAATGAAGAAACTGTGAAAACAGCATTTAAAGAATTTTTCAATTCAAAGATCAATGACTTTTGTAAATTTCGTATAATAAAACTAGTTAATCGTTAGGAAAAGTGTATAGAATCGTTATAGAAATTATTTCGATTAAATACATTATTTTTTCAAGAAACATAATGTATCTAAAGTTTAAATTAAAATATCTCTTGAACTAACTGTTCTTTGGCATAAACAGCTCAATCCATTATTTTTATTGAGAATGACGAGGTAAATCAATCAATGTATACAAAAATATACGATTCTATTCGAAGAAACAAATTTGAACTAACCTAAGAAAACAATTAATCACATTAAATTATTGATCTTTTTAATTATTAATCTTTTCTACCCTTAATACAATTCAACTATTGTTTGACATTTTTTCCCATATTTACTAAGATATTTCAGGTTCTAGTTTTAGGTGAATCACCCTGTATACTAAGTTGTGCAATCAATTAACAATCAGTACAGATAACCTGATTTATCAATGTAAATAGTATAAAGTAGTATTTTTATCTAGATTCCAAAAAGTGATATCATCCGACCATAATAAGTACACATTTATTAAACATAATAATATTTTTGAACTGTCTGTAGCTATGTTGGTACGAAAAAATTTGTATACATCATTTAAATAGTTTCAAAGAGTGAATAAAATGGAAAAAAACTTTTTTTTAAATTTCATATTTAATACAAAATTTTAGTGTGCAAAATCACTTTCAGGTTATATTATTATGCGTGTTTAAATACACATATATAGTCTGCTACAATATATAGTAGAAAAAATATAAATATATACATTCACGTAAAAAAACATAACCTTAAAAAAATGCTTTCTTCCATCTTATTCATCCTTTGAAACCATTTAAATTGCGTATAAAAATTGTCTCGTATCACCATAACTATACAGAGAAAATATTATATTACATATACAAAGCAAAAAACGGTATGAAATACGTGGATTTTTAATCTTGTGCGTTTAAATATGCAGTGGTAAATGTGAAAACTACACTTGTCGCATTGCAGACGTGCATCAATCCCTTTCGCTTCCCGAAAGTTTCCGAAAGCAGCACTTCAACCTTCATTGAATTATGCGCAAGATTTAACCACGACCCGTTTTCCCTTCCTCGCCTCGTTTAACACTGATTGTTACAAAGTGCACGAGTGTCCTCGAATGAATAAAAGACGGGACATTCGAGCTCGTAAATCTCAATTTTCGTGGTCTAGAATTTATGTTTGTCGACTACCAAAATATTTCAAATTCAGATAATCCACTATAAAACTACAAGAAACAAATAGAAATCCAGCTAAACTCTTTAAAAAAATAATGAACGATATTCGAAGCATAATCATTTGCGAGAAAATTTAGAATTTTAATTTAAACAGTTCTAAAACTGAATTATCCGAATTATTTTTATTTTAATAATAAAAAAATGATCGTGCTTAGGTAAGGTATACAGCAAATTTTGAATTTTTAATGCGTAACTAATGAGTTTTTGGCATTTCATGATATTCAATATTTAACAAAATTTTAATTATTTTTACTCGAAAAATGAAATAACGATCGATGGAATGGACGAAATTATTCATTCAATGGTAAAACAGTGCTCGTTTTATGCTGATAAGTATGTCTCGAATTTCAGAGTTGTAATTAGTCATCAGTTTTATTTATAGTCATAATGCTCTACTGTTTAACATTGAGCGCTATCTTATATGCATATAGACTTATAAATAATACTCTTACTTTATGTTCAGCAATATTTCCTTCTCAAATACATCCCTACTCCAATAAATCATTTTCGTTTACTTTGCTCAGAATAACGAAATTGCAAACAAGCTTTCTTTCGATAATACGACAAACGAAAATTTTACATTTAAACAAACATTAAAGTTTTATTCAATTTTTCTCTGACGAACTAATTTTGTAATTACTTTTTCTATTACAATAACATTGTTCAATACTTCACAATTAATTAGAAAATAAAATAGTTAAAATGCTGACATAAATTTAGTACAAATAAAAGCCAGTTAATTATCAATTATTAGAATACTTCATACTTAAATGTCCACGAAATTATATATAAATATTAGTTTTGAAATGTCAGAAATTATTATTAAATATTTGATTGAAAATATGATCTTTCAAAAAATATTCCAAAAGAATTTATATGAATCTTCTGAAAAACTCATATTTTACTTACGAGATAAATAAAGGCGCACAACTATTTATACAAATGTTTTTCCATAAAATTTTACGTACAATATATATCTCAAAAAGATACACAAAAATTATGTAACCATATGTAATCACTTCAAATACTAGTTTAACAACACAATGAAACTACCGCGCACTTTACATCACTCATTTTGTCAAGTTTCGATCGATCGTTTTTGTTGCTTGAACGATTGTGAAATGTTCGAGATATCTATTACATTCGATATAGCCACAGTCTCGTGTTAGTTTCTTTGAAGTTGGACACGTTGATTAAACTCCAGCCCGTATTTTTTCCATTAGTAGTTTTATTATCAGATATATTTCATTATACATTTACAATCTTTAATAAACTTTTACAAATGCAATAAGGTTGACAAGAATACCGAACTTTCGGATAATTCGAGTTCTTCCTGTCTGTCTGCTACTCGCTACACTGTATACGTTTAAATATTCGCTTAACAAAATTTTCCTTATAGTAGAGCTTCGAGGACGTTATGATTGTTCGACGTCACTTTTGCACATATTACGATATAGCATAAAATACTCGTACATCGAATTCGATAGAGCCATATCAGCGGTTTCTTATTTTTTATTTGAAGTATCTGCCTCAGATTAGAAACGCGGAGCTTACTTATATGATCGTTCTAAGGGAATGTAGTACCAGATCGATAAACATCATCGTCAAATTTCTCAGGAAAAGTGTCTCAGCTTTCTATGTTCGATATGCCAATATTCAATACAAAAGTTGTATACAAACATTTAGACACGCCTCTTTTAGCGCTACCGCTAAATCAATATGAAAAAAAAGTTATCATAAACGAAACTAGTTAAAAAACAAAAAAAAAAAAAACGGATGTGCGCATAGCGCTAACCATTTTCAATGAATGATGATAAAAAAATATATATTATACACAACTATCTAAACACGACAGAATCTGTCACATTTAGAGACTACTGAACATCTATTAGATATTAAATTATCCAGTTCAGTTTCTCGCGTACTTTCTGTCACCCTATGTATATATATATATGTATATATGTATATTTATGTCTATGGTTTACAATGGCGAGAAATATCACGCGTTGAGAGACATGTTAAAAACAATTGAATTATACCAAGCTGAGCATAATCAATTTTATCGTGACTGAGGAGGACTGACCGCTCCCTATCACGTTACGTTAGGTCTATCGTGGATGAAGAACGTATTTATTGTACAAATGTTCAGAAAAAATGCATACTTTACGAATACGATTAACAAGTGATAAAAATATTGTGTAAGTACGCAAAGGTAGAAATTTATTTATCTGTACCTTTACTCTCGCACTGTAGGATCGAAAACAAATATTAGTATAATTTCTTCGCCTGTGCTTCTTTATTGTCTCTGCAAACAAAAAGATAATGAGGATGATTCCGTGCTCTTTATATACATTATGAATGCATGTGTTATGCTACATGAATGAGGAAGAAAGTAAACATTTACCGATACGTGCTGTACGCTAGTAAAATAACCATTTGAATTGCCACAAAAATTAAGAACATGGTTGTTGTTAAACAATTTGTTGTTGGACAATCTGTCCCTCCGGTATTTAATTTAGTAGCTACATGTCCAACATCTCGCTTCACTGCGTTAAGTCCGTCCCGCATTTCGGAAATAAGTGACTGATAATCATATCCCATTGGCTGTACCTAAGCAGTATTTGTTTTCAACAAAATATGTTACAGGTATATTAACATATTAATATATAATCAAATATCGATAAACACCTGAGCAGTTGGTGCTCGAGCCTGATTATTAAGAATGGTGTCACTCTTGGTATATACTTCATTTACATAGGACTTAATTTCTCTTGCTGTATTCAATATAGCATTCTGATTACCCAATATAGTGTCAACTTCTTGTCTGCGTATTGTATCAATTAGCTGCATTGGTTGTCCCGGTTGCCCACTTGATGGTACACCTACAAAAACATTGTTTGCATGGACCATAAGTTTCCTATTTACATGTGCGTTATAGACTGATAGTCAATGAAATCTCACCCCCAACTTGAAGTTGAGATATTAAGCTTAAAGACCGTTCTTGCCTTCCTACTATTTCATCCAATTTTCTATTAAGCTCACGTAATGCATCAAACATTTGGCTTTGACCGGAAAAGATTTGTCGCAATTCTCTTTGATTGTCAGTTTCAAAGTACTCCTCAAATTCTTCTTTCTCGCGATGTTCATTTGGATGATCCCTAGCGAATTAAATGAGTTGAATTTATAAATAAAATTCTCAATTATAATACAATTTTCAAGTTATTAATATTTTTTACCTGCGGTATTCTTCTTTTTGTTGATCCAACTTTTTCTGGTAATCCAGATATTCTTGGCTAAGTTTTTCCTGTTCTTCCACAGACACTTTCTGCCCTTCTGATCTTAACTGACCAGGAGGATACAAAGAATGTGTTAAGAAATGTGAAACATCGTGATCATCAGCCAAACCACCTTAAATAAGGTATTACATAAAATATAATTATATCATAGTAAATGTTAATATCCTTTTTTTTTTTTAAGGAAAAATACCTGTTGCAGCAGAAACACCAAAGTATCCTCCTTTTGGCAAAGCAATATTTTCAACACGGAAACACATCTCATAATCTTGTTCATTATTTGTCATACCATTATGGAATAACACCTTTAGTTAAGTATTAAAAACAAAGTTATATAATAAATATACTAGTAGACAAAAATTTATATACATATAAAAATATACTTACTGTTAAAGTATTCTGGTAGTATTCAATTTTTGCTCTTGTAGCAAATGGTTTATTACGAAAATCTCTCAAACAACCAGTAGATAGCTGTGTTGTACCATCACTAAACAAACATTAAAATAAAGAATTATTTATTGAAAATGTTACAGTAGAAAAATTACAGTAAGGATTGTAATTTACTTTGTGTGATCAAAAGTTTTTGTGCCATCATTGAGGACTGCCATGATATAGGGGTTGTTGTGTTTATTGTCATTGTCAAAGGAGTCAAAGAAAATTCCAAGACCATTCCACTGGTCAGAGCTACCGAAAACAGTGCCATTATAAGCACCCTTTGACCTAGTATACCAAAATGCTAAACCATCTGCTCCAATTCTTCCTCTTCCTGTTACTCTAAATATTAACTCAACCTCCCACCAATCAAATGCAACTGGTTGCTTCACCCATATAGCACCTAAATTTCATTTTAAATTTTCATATTGTACAAAGTAACAATAAAAACAAATATTCAGTTAATTTTTATTAATACAAAAGTTTGATAAATATACATTATGTTAACTTATGTTACAATATACTTGATACTTTAATATTAAATATTATAGAATAAGAATCACATTATATTTTTAAATACTTTTATTTACATCATAGACAAGCCTTTATTATATATTTAATCAAAATTATGAAAAAGATATGCTAGTAAAGTTAATCTATTACATACCTTTTTGGCTTCTCAATGATGGAGCAACTCTAACATTTTCTGCACTAGCAATTGCATCTGAAATAAAAGATCGTATATTTTGTAAATAAATAAATGACCACACAGTAATTGTAACATAACATAAATAAAAATGTACTAGTATTACAATAAATTCACATATGTTACAGAATTGACCAATAAAGTTCAATTTATACATAAAAATAATCATTATGAATAACGAACAATGTTTAAATTTTTAGTGTAAACTGAATTAGACTTAAGGGTAAATAAAAACAAAGTACATCTGTTGTGACAGTTTCGTCGAGTTCTGTCAATAAATATTATCATATTCACGTATCAGTGTTCGCAAATAAAAGATTCGACCGCGACTGATGTTTGTAAATAAGATAATAATGCATTTCACTTAAATAACTGAAAAGCCGACTCCAAGAAAATAACATACGGAAGTGTTTTACGGCGCGCGTATTTGGTTAGGTTTTACATTTACTCACTTCCTCCGTATTCCCAGAAAGGCACACTGCCATCTTTTTGTGCGAGATATGGTGGCTTAAATGAGTATTTATATTCGAATTTCCGATGGGGTATCTCACCGAGGACCGCATAAATTACAGAAAATACATGAAAAATGAAAAGCCACCTCACCTCGGCAGCCATCTTCATTTCGACTGTTGAATCGAAAGTAGCTTGACCGTGGTCGACCCTGTAACCGGTTAAAATGATTGGCAGTACCCTGTAAATTCTCCTTTTGATTGGTCTATTATCAATGACGTGTCAATTTTGTAGCCACATTTCAAAGGATTTGCTTTCCACCACTTTTTTATAATTTTGCTGGTGCACAGGTTTTTATTGTTGTACGATATTCGATTCGTTAAATAAATCACTCGCAAGGTATTTCATGATTTTTCACCACAGTCTTCATATACTGAATTTAGGTTCGTTCGCTTTTGCAGACGTGTCACACGAGAACATGGCGTTATCATGAATAAAATGTCAAATAAATTTAGCAACTAATTTAGTTTTCATGAATAAAAATGACGCATTTAAAATTATTTGTTAGTTAACATAATAGTTTGGAAAATTATCAACACATACAATTTTAAAATAACAACATAAATTTCGTATGTTCATTCTTCGCTTAACTTTTACTTTAGATGGGTATTTTTAATTACGAAACAAAAAACAGCATAAGCTAAGAAATTCTTCTATCAAAATATTTCATAAATGTATCTTCATAATTTTCTCTTAGTGTGAAATTAGTGATTGTTACACTGCTGCTTGCAAAGAGAAAGTTCCAAGATTTCTTAATGTGTTAAGATAAAATAGTTTATTATTAAATTTGATAAACCAATATACGTCATACCTATTTTGAAGAGTTTGTGTGCAGTATTTGAATGATTCAAGTGTACATAAGTACAAATACAAGTATATTTATGTACTTCGCTAATTTATCAAGTGTATTTAATATAGACGAATTCGACTAATGATAAGAATTGAAAGAATAAAAAAAAAAGAAGTGGAAGAATAAAAAATTCTGATAGTATTCATTCCTCCTTCAATTCTTGACCGTTTTATTACTTCTATTATTTTGTCAAGCAAAAAATTGACAAAATCTGCAATCAGGTGTTGCTATAACTATTAGTATTTTTCCATCTTTTTTTCTTCTGAAGAATCGTTGCCTGATGCAACGACAAGCGAGTACCTTTTCTCTCAGCTGATTTCAGAACGTAGCTGTTACAAGTCATTGGGTGTATATAGCAAACGTTTACTCTCCCATTTACTTGTCTCCAATGGAAATACGTTCAAGATGGCGTCGCTCATTGACAACTATGAGCAACAATACGCCGTTTTGACAGCTGACATTACTGCAAAAATCGGTAGAATAAGAACACAAAGCGGCAGTAAGTACGAGAAAAGTAGAATTATAGTGATCGTTTTGTTGCGGGGGACTGATAGTTGCTTTTCAAGCAAACGCTGTCTATTCTCTGACATTATTAAACAACAATAATCAATACACGTGACGTAATTTACAGATGAGAAAAGAGCATTTATTCAAGATGTGGACAGGCAGATTGAGGAGGCTCAAGAATTGGTAAATTAAATATCTATCTTTTCTTCAGTTTTAATGTAATTCTAATAAATCAAAGTTTCGAAAAGATTACACATTCTATTTTGGGGTTAGAATTGATTATTTTTTATGTGATTCTATCTTACTATGAATATAAAAACAAGTTAGAATGAAAGATTTATATATTTTAATATTTTATTGTATTAAGAACAAGTGATGATATAAGATTTATTATAATCTTCAATGCTTTCTTATCTACACTTTATCTACAGCTTGAGCAAATGGAATTGGAGGTTCGTGGGGTGAACGGTGCAGCCCGTGACCGCTTACGTGGCCGAGTAGAAAGTCATAGAGCAGAATTAAAACGGCTGACACAAGAGTTTCAGTCAGCCAAAAAGCCAAAGGATGAAAGTATTGAAATCAATAGGGAAGATTCGTGGGAGAGTAGTATCACAGAGGATCAAAAGAAAAGATTATTGGATAGCTCAGAACGAATAGATCGTACAGGAAGAACCTTACAGAATGGGTATCGAATGGTATTAGAAACAGAAGACATCGGATCTCAAGTATTAAAAGAATTGCACGAGCAGAGGGAAACAATCCACAGAGGCAGGGGAAGAGTAAGATTGTTAATCTTAACTTATAGGATAGATATTTAAAAATTTATAATATATAAATATTTCGATTATT